GCTGAAAAAGGATAGATGATGAGAGTTCATTCTAAAGCCTATTCATATCTTCTGTTAATTGGGTGTTATAAGAGTAAGGTGATCATGTAGTAATTTTCCTCATGGGGAGCCTTTATGGAGACAAGTGAACACCATCACAGTGTGGTCTTAAATTTTGAAAGCCAGACTTAACACCTGGTGACTGTCATAAAGCAGGAGGTCACACCAAATGACTTTGTCCTCTGATAAAAAAGACCTTGGATTTATATGTGCTTTTCAGATTACTTGTTTCCATCTCAAATTCCCTTACATTAACTTTTGGGTGGTGATAACTGCACAAGGAAAAATCACTTTTGGAAGTGAAATTTCTGTTTGAAAGAACACAGCCATGTTGAAAACTGATAGGGATTGATGAAGATGTCACTGGGTAGACCATGAAAGTAGTGTATGTTCAAAAACCACCCTCTAGAACTTCAAAGATACCAAGTAGACTGACCATATGCTTTTCTGTCTATGATGCAGTGATGATGAGATTCATGAGAGATGTGGTGAAGATGCCATCCATTACCTTGCCTTCCAGCGGCACATCATCTGCTTGTTGATTGCCGTCAGCATTCTGTCTGTGTGTGTCATATTACCTGTCAACCTGTCGGGTGATTTACTTGGTAAGACGTTTATTTTGTATTCTGAGAAGAATTTTGTGGTTTATAAGCAATGTAAAAGCTTTTAGGATTTTTTAAATTTTGGTAAAGTTTGTGAGGGTGTGCGGGTTTTGTCTGATTTGTGTGTCATTTTGTGTGAAATTTGGATGAGATTAGGGGATTTTTTAAATGTCTGGCAAAAAACTGTTGTCGGAAACAAGATGGCAAAACACATGCAGATATGGACAACTAGACCTAGAAGGCTCAAGCCAGGATTAACTTTACTTGTGTCCTCTTAACTGGTGTTTATCTAGGCACTCCTTAGGATATTTATTGGTGATGATTGCCAATAGGAACTGTCTTTACAACTGTGAAATCTTTTTCTAGTGTCCAGTCTGAATCTCTTGCTGCAGCTTAAGATCATTAGGTTTTGACCTGTCACCAGGGAGAATAGATGATACTTTTCCTCTTTGAATATCCTTTTAGCTGCTTGAGGATTATCAATTCATCCTCTTTTTGATAAATCAGACCAGTTAATTTGGTCATTAATCAGAAATATTTTCCATTTGGCTGCCCATAAAATCAATAAAATAATCATTCATCCTTTGAAGTTTTTTAAATCTAGCTAGACTGTCTCCCATCATTCTTTTCTGTCTTGGTTTGCCGCTCAAAACTGGATAAATCTTCTTGCTGAGACTTTGTCAGTGCTGGCTAGACAAAGATTTATGTCATGTTTCTTGCAGTCTAGTCCTGGTTGTGTCTGCAAGTGTGACACCTAACTCTTTGCATTATAAACTCGCACTCAACAGATACAGTAAATGTGTCCTCTAGTCTGCCATTCAGGCATGAGAATACTGGTGGAGAGAATGCTGTTAAACTGTGGTTAAACATGCTTCCATTTTTTTATAATGAGCTCTTAGAAGCCCATTAAGACAGCTTTGATACAAATCTGCCTATTTCGACTGTCTTGTCAAGGTGATGTTTACGGAGTTGTTCGTAATTAATCATCTTGGTGAACAGTGATGCAAAGAAAAAGCACAAATTCATTTGGTTTTCCCAGGGGCTCTCAAGCAGAGTGCTTACTTGTGTTTTGTTTGTGCTTATACCACAACAGTTGCATCTTATTTTGTGTACTGATCTTGCTGACCTTTGTCTCTGTAATTTACTCTCTTCTATTGTCCTTAATAATGTGTCCTAGTTCTTGTTTTCAGTTTACTTCTACCTGTGTTTTAAAGAGCCTTGTGACTCAGCCCTCCTCTGAAATGTTGAACCTGTGCCTTTAGTATTGCTTCTTTGTGGAGCTGCTATCTCTGACTTCTCTTTTATAAGCTTTTTCTTATCAGTTTTCTGTTTATATTAATATCTGCTTTCTTAAAGACCGTTGCTGGGGTTTTTTTTCTTCTTTGCATTTTATTTCTCTTTTTGTTCTTTCAAAGAACACCTTATTGCTTCACAGTCACTTCTCCTTCTTTGCTTCCATCTCTGTGTTCTCAGCCTAGTTTTACAGAACCAGATGCAACACAGCCGTTGCCCTAGTTGCTTTTCTTTGTAGAGAGAGATGCCAGTGCCCTCAAAGATCTGATAGAATGTAGTTCCCTCTTCGGGTTTAGTTTCTACCTGTACATTTACACCAAAATGGATTTTGTAATACACATCAATTTGTGTGCACTGTCCTTTTCTAACTACAGTTTGTAAAAGTTGTAGTACTTTGGATACCAGTAGATGCTCTCTATTAATTCAAATGGCAGAGCATCTCTGGCCTTTTAAAGCAGGATAATACAACTTCTCTTTTTGTGCATTAACTTTTATGATGCTAGGAAATACAGCTGAAAATCAAAGATGAAGTTTTAGTGTATCTCCGCTTCTTCCCCCCCCTCCACCATATGTTGATTTTGTGCATTTGCAGTTTCTTTCTGTTGTGATGGCTTGCAATGTGGCTCAACAGTCTGTGCTAGAAGACTGTTTAGTTTTCCAGATACGCTTAGCTCTATTTCCTTTGTGAACATGTACTTAATTTCCACTCACTTGCATTATCATTTTTAAATACTTGACAGTCTAGAGAAACAATGTCATATAAACTCTTTCCTTCTTGACCTTAGTAAGGTTATCGGTACTGGTTTGTCAACACTGAATTAATGCAGTTTAAAAACCTGAGATAAGGAATCAGTTAAGATGAAATAAAAATGTCAAGGAAATATGTTCAAATCCCTAAGCAGTGTTGCTAATGGACATGAAGGGGCGATTGGAGGGAGAAAGGGAAACCCTGTAAAGATCTGACATCCAGGTTTTTAAAATAAACTAATCTTTCTCGTGATGGGTTGAATGTGGTATAATCCTGGGGCTTTTTTCCCAGCTTTAAAATGCAATACAGTAAACCAGCATTGATTATGATTTTACATCTTTTAAATAATGAACATGCTGAGCATTAAAAAGCATATCAATATTTAAAAAAAAATAGAATAAAAGCTGACTTTCTCATTTGCGTGTGAATGTTGCACCAGTTAATTATGCTGCTTATTTTTGTCCTTCCTAGATAAAGATCCCTATAGTTTTGGAAGAACAACTATAGTAAACTTGCAAACTAGGTAAGTAAATCTTTCAGAGTACCTTTCTGCTTGTATGTGTTTCCTGCCATAGTCTCTAAACACATGAATTGATACTTGCAGCATGGCTTATGGGGTAGGATTGACTTATTCGTGCTTCATCAACTGAAACTGGGATACGTTCTGCTTCAGGCTATGCAGTTACAGTGCTGATAAGAAATTTAGAGACTTGGCTCTTACTTTCTCAGCTCTTTTTACACCACATGTTTCTTTTGGCTAATGACTGCACATCTAGAAATTTCAGAAATTCCCACATTAAAAGAAACCATTCTTGAGAAGGAAAATAGGAAAATAAAGCTGACAGCTTTACTAGAATGTGTAACTCAAATGATTTCAATTCCCATACGTTGGATTTATGTGTGTGCATATCTCTCCCATCGGAGATCACAATTAAAATTACTTGTATGTGTTCTAAAAACAGGTCTGTAAAATAGTATAAAGCTGTACATTTTTTCTCTTTCATTACGTCATCACATCCATCCATGACCCTATTTCCAATAGAGATTCTGCCAATGCACTTTGGGACTGCTTTTAACCACATTGCGAATCCTAGTAACTGGTGGAGACTTTTTGCTTGGTTGGGTTATTTATCTGTAAAACAGGTTCCTGTATTTTAGGTTATTTGTAATTTTTAGTGCTTCTTGCAAAATTGAAGAACTGTTTGCAGAACAGGACTTCTGTAAGCTCTGAGGAAGGAGCTGCCAGAGAAGCAGAATTTATTCCCTGCATTAAGCTGTTATCAATTTGAGTACGGATTGTGTTCAAGGAGAGTTCAGTTATGCACTCAGCACAGTAAATAATAAGGCCAATAAAGCACATTTTGGCAAATAACATGGTGTGTGCTATTGGTCATGTGAAGGACAAGGCAAAAGCTGCCTAAAAATGTCCATGTCACACGGTATCTGCTTTCTTTGTAGGTCTGTTACCCATAGAATTTTATGATAAGCCAGTAACATTAATGACTGTCCAAGGCAGCTCCATAGGTGTGACTGACTACCAGTAACTACCTTTGGTTTTGTGCTCAATGAGGGGCTCTGATCTGCTTAGCGTTTTGATGACTACTTATATCAGTTGGACAGTTAGATCTTCCTACTTCTCATTCATAACATTTTGTCCGACAGTAATAATCTTCTTTGGCTGCACACGGTTTTTGCTGTTGTTTACCTGATCCTGACTGTTGTCTTCATGAGACATCACATGAAGTATGTCACATATAAAGAAGAAAACATAGTAAGTTTATTTGATGGGGTGGAAAGGAAACATACAGCATGTTTGCAAGTGGATAATGCTAAAAAAGCAAATTGCTGACATGCCCCCTGCTTCCTAGAATGTAATGTAAGTGTGAAGAAATTCACTGAAAACAAAACTCCACTCAGTGAATTAACTGTGAAAATAAATGGAGAGAAGGGGGTTGAGGAGGGATTTTGGTGTAACCTGTTACCAAAGTAGAAGGTGAACATGGCGCTGCCTTGAATAGATGCAGCTCTCATCAAAATCAGAATTTCCTACCTTTTTTCCCCCTTGGAACACAGCTACTTGTGCTGTGTCACAGCTGCCTTTGTATGCTTGTGGTTTCTTTAAATTGGAGCTGCAATTTCTCCTGCAGGTTAAGTGCACATTGTTTATAACTGGTCTTCCAAAAGATGCAAAAGAAGAGACAGTACATGGCCATTTCACGTAAGTTCATGGAATGGTTTGGGTTGGAAGGGACCTTAAAGCTCATCCAGTCCCAACTCCCTGCCACGGGCAGGGACACCTTCTACTAGAGCAGGTTGCTCCAAGCCCCTGTGTCCAACCTGGCCTTGAGCACTGCCAGGGATGGGGCAGCCACAGCTTCTCTGGGCACCCTGTGCCAGCGCCTCAGCACCCTCACAGGCAAGAGCTTCTGCCTAATGTCTGATGTAAATCTCCCCTCTGTCAGTTTAAAGCCATTTCCCCTTGTCCTGTCACTACAGGCCCTTGTAAAAAGTCCATGCTTGAGTAGTATCATTAGGAACAAGAGATTTAAAATTGTCCTAGTTTTACCTGCTGAAGCAGAAATGTTTTTTGACTTTTGCACTGTTTAAAATCCATACTGTATTATCAGTCTTCCAAAAGCGTATCTTGTAATCTTTTCTCAATTCTGTCTAAGGAATATTTCAACAGTCAGCTGATCTTAAAATGAGGATCTAAGGAAGTGTCTGTGTATCCACACTTTCCATGTAGGCTCCCGTATGGCCTTTACTTGGGAATAATGCTGCACATCTCACATTAAAGTACCTTTCAGCAACTGTCTCTCTGGAAGTCTCCCCTGTATGATACCTCATTCAGAAATGAAATGACTGATTGAGATGTTGGGTAGACACCAGTGATACTCTTTGGAACAGTTTCTTCATTGTACTTTCTTATACTTCTCCTGTACTGCTTCCCTTTCAGTGCTGCCTACCCAACTTGCACTGTGCTGGAGGTGCAGCTGTGTTACGACGTAGCCAAGCTTATTCGTCTGTTCAAGAAAAGGTATTTGTATTTTAAGCTACACAAGTTTAGCATAATTTCATGAATGCTTTGCCAGTCCTTAATCAACATATACCAGTAGTACTAAGCTTGCCTACACTAGAAATGAATTCTGCTCTTAAAGTTTTGATCTATCCTTCAGTTAGATTCAGCTGTGATTTAAGGTGAGTTGTGGGGTTCAGTCAGTTTCTTTTAAGTGTGATAATTGCGTGTTGCATAAGATAAACTTTGACTTGCTGAAGTCAGCAAGTTTATGTGTGTATGTATGTATGTATGTATGTACTGTGAGGCAGTGCAAAGTGGAAAACTCAACTACTGAATTAATATCTCAGGGGCCCTGATTCTTTGGGCAGAGGTGCTGATCACAGGAGAGAAAAGTGTTGTCTTCTGGGCTATACAAGAATAGCACTGGTCAGGGTTTTTTTCTGGAACCTCACTACAAATGTAGGCTGTATAATGCTATTAGACTTGAAAACAGGTTATACTAAGTAGTATGTGAGTATCTTTAGTGACTGATTAATTTGCTATCAGTCCTTAACATAACTTTCTCTCTTGGGAATTATAATCTTCTTAAGCTTGATGTTGATACTGTTTTCCTGAAAATGTTACGAGTGTGGTTTTCTGTCCAGAAAACAGGCAGAAAAAAGCCTGACTTACTATGAACACCTGCATCAGAAGTATGGCAAGCGGGTCCAGATCAGCCCTAAGCCATGTGGTCAATTCTGCTGCTGTGAAATGAGAGGATGTGAAAGGGTAAGATCATGTTCAATTTTAGTTATGGCTGGGTAGGTTGTGAGAAGAGTAGAGAGTAGGTTTTGTGTGATGTCTTGTTGAGCTTCAACAAGAAGCTCAACTTGAAGGCTCATCCTTCAAGTTCTTGCACTGCACAGAAAAGGAATTCCCCCCAAATTTTGAAAAGTAATCTTAGTGTAAAAATAGAAGTACAAGAAAAACTTCCTGTTTGTCTTCTCATTGTGATATGATTTGTAATTTGTGGAAGTATCATAGGATCACAGACTGGTTTGCGTTGGAAGGGACCTTAAAGCTCATCCAGTTCCAACCCCCTGCCATGGGCAGGGACACCTTCTATCAGAGCAGGTTGCTCCAAGCCCCTGTGTCCACCCTGGCCTTGGGCACTGCCAGGGATGGGGCAGCCACAGCTTCTCTGGGCACCCTCACAGGGAAGAGCTTCTGCCTAATGTCTAATGTAAATCTCCTCTCTGTCAGTTCAAAGCCTTAACCCCTTGTCCTGTCCCTACAGGCCCTTGTAAAAAGTCCCTCTCCAGATTTCCTGTAGGTCCCCTTTAGGCGCTGGAGCTGCTCTAAGGTCTCCCCAGAGCCTTCTCTTCTCGAGGCTGAACAAGCTCAGATCTCCCAGCCTGTCTCCGGAGCAGAGCTGCTCCAGCACTCGTTGCATATTTGTGGCCCTCCTATGTTCTCATTCCAATAGCTCCACATCCCTCTTGTGGTGTTGCCCCCAGAGCTGGATGCAGGACTCCAAGCGGGGTCTCACAAGAGCACAGTAAAGGGGGGGAATCGCCTCCCTTGACCTGCTGCTCATGCTCCGTTTGATGCAGCCAAGGACATGGTTGACTTCCTGGGCTATAGGTGCACATTGCTGGGTCATGTTGAGCTTCTCATCAACCCACACCTCCTCCTCCTCAGCGTTGCTCTTAATCTATTCTCTGCCCAGCCTGTATTTGTATAAGTAATATGAGGACAAGAGACTATGAAGTAATATGAGGACGAGAGACTATGGTTTGTGTAAGCTGTATTTTAATGAAGATACTAGCCATCTGGTGCTCGGATGTAACAGTCATCAATTTCCCAACAGGAGGATGCTGTAGATTATTATACCAAAGTTACAAATGAACTGATGGAAGAATATTCAAAAGAGGAACAAGCTGTTCATAATAACCCTCTGGGAATGGCTTTTGTAACATTTCAGGAGAAATCCATGGCAACCTAGTAAGTTTTGTCTGCTGTCTTATTTGTTCTCTTTTAACTGTAATAGTAGAACTGATCTGCTGTTTGTGTCACTTGTGTGCTTACGTTGATTCTTCTCTTCCTTTCTCTTTTTCCCATCCTGTGGATTTGGTCTGCTTTGTTTTCTGGTAAGTTTCCTTGTAAACGTGCTTTTAGCCTCTATGTTTTGAGTGGAGGAAGTACCTAAGGGACTAAATGGCTCTGGACACTTACTGAGATAAGGAGCCTTTCTCTTCTGTGCGGGATCCAGTCCATCAGTGTGGGTTAATAATAGGCCAGACTAATTGGCTCTTGAATCCAAGCTACTGATTTCTCCATTTCTACTGTGCAAATGGTCCAATTACCAAATGATCACAGTGGGTGCAAATTACACCCCTAGTTAGTCATCTCAACCAAGCAGAGTCAGGGACTGACCTGGTCATAAGAGATAGATACTCATTATGTATCTCTCTTACCTATTATCATAGATATATGTGTAGGTCTACTATCAGAAGTTATTCAGTGCTTTTTACTTGGTCATTTGCAGAGAAAATGCCTGTAGCCTCTTGTTTTCTGTTGGCACTTTGTGAGCATCTTTTACTAAAACAAAGTGGGCAAGGGGAAGCAGAATTGTATTTGTATTACCAAAATAACACAGCCTCTCTGTGTTTAAATTGTCTGCATTCTTTTGACCTTCAAGTCATGTTAGAGAGCCAGTGTTTCAGGCTTCTTTTCAAGAAAGTCCAGGGTATAGGATTCCTTGTGAGAATTTGAGATGCTGCAGAAGATTTTGCTTGCTGCTTTTTACCCAAGTAGTAATCGTGTGGTGAAATCTATCTCCCTCCTGATTTTGTAATGTTACACACCACATTTAGAGAATATAAAGCTTGAAATGACATTTTAAGATGTGAAACTGAAAGAATAAATAACACTGAAGTTCCTTCTCTAGCTGCTGATTTGTCATATACTATTTTGATGGGATGGTCTCTTTGGGCATGTGTTCTGAGTTGTACTGCAGCCATCTTTGCAGTTGAATTAGCAAGAACTGAAAAGATTTTAATTAGTTTAGCTTGGAACTGATGCAGTGGACTGCAATCTCTGGAAAATTAGATTTGATGACATGTGAAGCTGATGCTACCAGCAAATTAGGAAGTTATTTGGTGCCCTTACTGGGATTTGCTCCACAGAGCCCTGAAATAGGATGGGAGAAACAGGAAGCCAAGACTGAGGTTCGTGGAGTCAGGTTAATGTAACCATCATTAATCAAGCCAGTAGAAGCTGGGTTAATGATGGTGCTTGGTAGCATGGCTGGTAGTGCTAAAGTTTGCTCTGTATGTATGTTTTTAACTAAACTGTCAAAAAGTATCATTAACTTTCTTAAATTCTTGCTGCTGCAAGATGCTGGCAGTTTGACACCACTACTAGAATCCTGGTAAGGTAAAGATCTGGGGGTTATTTTTGGTTTTTTAGTGTTCGTGTGTGTGTTTCTCTGTTATCTTTATGTTAAGAGCACAACTGAGGAACAAGTATGTTCAGGAATTCCAGAGTCTGCCCGTTCAAACATAATATATACTGTTTCTATGCTGGTGTAATAGAGCTTGTCTGTATGGAACTTCTTTTGCACAGTAACGCACACAGAGCTGTCCTGCCTCTGAATGTATGCCTAGAACTTCTATTGCTGTGTTTTGAGAAGTCTTTGAAAGCATTTGTTCAGAGCATGTTTAAATTTTGTTTAAATACATGGATTGTCAGTCAACTCATTAGAAGATAAAATTGAGCACTGTGATTATTTTAGGGGTGGGTGAATGAAGGTAACATTTTGAACTGTGAGAATACCAGCATGATATAGTCTTTTTCTGAGAACTCCAGGCCAAATTGGCTTGGTTTGATACTGCTGTAATGAAATGAGGGTGCAGACTGATCCTTTGGTCTGCTTTGATTTGAAAACAACAGCTGTAATTCCCTAAAGAAGTGTTTGGAGAACTGGCAGTCTTTATCTATTTCTTCCAGTACTCTCAGGCTTTCATTTATTATTTCTTTCTAGCTGTTTTGTTTTTACTGAGTTACTCCTGTTGTTAGCGTTGGTAGAAGCACTGAACAGTTCAAACCAAAACTGCTTTTAGTTTCCAACTTTGCGAGGTCATTGTGACATTATGTTATGCATGTATTGTGTAAGTGCTACCTTGATCTGTGCTTATTAAAAGCAAAAAAACCTTCTCACTCTTCCCAGTCTTCCCAGCAATTTTGGGTGTAATTATTTGGAAAAATCCTCTCCTTCTTTTTGTCTCTTACAGTATCCTCAAGGACTTCAATGCCTGCAAATGTCAGAGTATTAAGTGTAAAGGAGAACCCCAGCCATCGCCTTACAGCAAGGAGCTGTGCATATCAAACTGGGAGGTTACATATGCTCCTTACCCTGAGAATATCTGTTGGTAAGATTCCTGCCTTGTCTCCATTTATTTATAATAATGTAGGTTTAGAATGGGGACAGGAGAAGAGGGCTGAGTGTATTCTTCTTTACCCCTAAACTAGGACTTTATGTAGCATTTGGATGTGACTGATCTGCATCTTTATTTTCATTACTGATGTGCTTCACTGACCGTGGGGAGGCCTCTCAGAGGCTGACTACTTCTGCCACCCCAAAGTTCTGATACTTGCAATTCCTGTTAACTAAAACCAAAAAAATATCAACTTATTAATGTCTGTGCCTTTAGTGTTGCAATGTTTTGAAGAAGAGGAGGCACAGGGAATTGCCAAGTTAGTTATTTAGGCTCACAAAAAGAGCTGTCATAAGTGGGGGTGTTACTGAACCTCTGTCCCTCTTTCATCTGTTCTAAATAGTTGGCTATGGGGTTCAAATTATTCTAGTTCTTTGGGAACCATTTCAGATAACATTTAAGAACTTTACCTGTTTAATATGGTGTTTTAATACTGTTTTAGTATGGCAGGAAGGGATGCAGGGGTCTTTCAATTATTTTTTTTTTCCAATCACAATTTCTTGGTAGATTCTGCCTCTGCTGGCTATATTCCTTGCAGAAATTCTCTGTATCTTCCTCTATCTCTGTCTTTTCTTGTCCTAACTTTGTTTAGTACTTCCATATTATTAAACAGCAGAGAAACCTTGCATGGTTTTCTTTATTTCTAATAGCAACTGGAACTTGTGTGCTTTATTAGCTAACTTTGAGACTACGAAAGCTCAAGTTAGAAAAAGCAGTTCCACCTGTTACTTGACAGTGTGTGTGTATGTGTGTATATATATGTATATATATACGTCTTCAACAAATGCTTACTGCTTGTTCTGCTTGGGTTTATGTCTTTTTCTCTTCAGGAAGAATCTTTCGGTGCGTGGACTGAAATGGTGGTTCAGATGGGCTTGCATTAATTTGCTTCTTTTTATTGTGCTGTTTTTTCTTACTACTCCTTCCATCATCATCTCAACCATGGACAAGTTCAATGTCACTAAACCTATTCACTACCTCAATGTGAGTATCACCGTATGTTTGCATAGAGCTGTGTATCAGACCAAAATGTTGATAAACTGATAGGTGAATTAGTAAGATGGTGAAACAATGTCTATAAACTAAATTCAGTTGAAATTATCAGAATTGCTTTATGTAACTGCTGATTAAAAAGCAGCATCAGAATCAGATCTTTTGTGCCTCAGTAGTAACCTAAAGTAGTTTAATCTGGGATTTTAATATGTCTTATTTCTTGTAAAAATCTGTATTCCAGATTTACATAATTCTAAATTCTGTAACCAAAAACCTGGAAGTTCAAGTCCAGCTCATATTTTGATTCTTATGATAAGGGGGAAGTCAGATTTTAAACTCTGAAGTATAATACTCTGATTTTATTTTGCTTACTGATTATGACAGGATGGCGCATATATGTACATATATATATGGTCTTAGTTTGACTGCAGCTAAAATCTCTGGCAAACTGTTCAGTTTATACTTCCCAAGCTAATGTAAACTACATAGAAGCTGCTTGTGGAACTTCACTCTCATGGAATTTAATTCCCAGTCCCACTTTTTATGTGTTGCACACCAGTGCTGAGCACTCACTCATTTTGAGACTGTATCCAAGTATAATTTCCACAGTCCAACTTGCTTTAATTTACAAAAAGCAAAATATTTCAGCCTCTGTTCTATCACAACTGCATTAAAATGTCTGTAATACTCTTACCTTTTTTTGCCCCTGCTAGAATCCCATCGTCAGTCAGTTTTTCCCAACGCTCTTGCTCTGGTCCTTCTCGGCTTTGCTACCAACAGTTGTCTATTACTCAACTTTGCTGGAGTGCCACTGGACAAAGTAAGCAAGGTTTTCCTCTGTTTTGGCCTTATCAGCTGAATTACTAAAATAACTGGAGAAAGTGCTTATCTTCATGGAGCTTTAAATCCACAGACCCTCTTGTAGCAAGGAATGTCATGTTCTTGCCTGTTTCTAATGTTATAACCAACACTCTGGAGTTTAAGTGATTTGTCATCAGCACAGCATGTATTATTTAACCTTATGCTCCCCTTTCTTTGTGTTTAATCAATAAAAAATGTATAAGCAGCCTGGGAGTGTAGCTTCAACAGGAGCATGGGAAGTGCCTCTGATTCCATAACCAGCTCACTCTCTGAGAAGGTAGATGTGGGTTTGGATCCCCTCCAGGCTGAGAACATCATAGAACCCCAGAATCCCACCTCAACAGAAAGTGCCCCAACTGCTCATATGCTACTTATAAAAAGGGCGTCCATCTGTTTGTTGTTTTGAGTGGGGGAAAAAAATGGTCTGGGTGTGACTCTTGATACATAACTTGGGTGCTGTTGGTTATCATCAGTGGTGATAAGAGAAGATAAGTGGGACCAAGGCCCAGCAGATTTTCAGGTGTGACTGGAGAGATGTCCAGCACAGTGATATGCTGCTAGCCTGAACTCAGCCCAGCTTGGTTTGGCATGCCAGATTTCATCCTCAGGTTACCTGCAGTCAGATGAAAGCTTGATATAGCACATTGAAACCCACCTTCACTCAATCTTCTTCCATAATGCCTGCACACATATTTTGTTTGGGATTTTTTTATGTTCTAACATCAAATTTTTTTGACTTCTAAATTTTTTGCATCATTCCATTGTAAGACATCATATCCAGAATGTACTGTTTATTCATCAGAGTTGCGTGCTTTTCATCATCTTTTTATTTATTTTTTTTGGTATTTGCAGTGGGCACATGAACTTTGAGCCCTTCTCAATCAGTTGAAATAGTTTTCTGAAGTCACTAGTGATCACAGATCTAATTTCAAGCGTCAGTATAATTACACTGATAAGTCCCTCAGTGCCCAACAGCTACGTGATCCTATAATCATAGAGTAAATATCTCAAGTTGGTAGGAACCCACAAGGATCATAGAGTCCATAATAAAACCCCTGTGGTTTTAATACCCTACGAGATACCACCCTTAACAGTCTGAATTGTTCATAGCAGTCACTGCACCATTCTGGCTCCAGAGCGTCACTAGATAGATGTTCCTGCTACTGTAGTACGGGTATAGCATTAATAGTGTCATGTTGTTCCCAAAGACTTGAGCCTTGTAAGGACAGTCAAGTAGCTTGTGTAAGTGTCAAGTTTCTTGGCACTGGTGCCCTTTTCAAACTGCCTGATCTCTCTTGGCATAACACTTGAAGAGCTGTTTGTTTACAAGCTCTTGTGAGATGTGGGTGTCATAGGATGAGAGACGAGGTGAGATCAAGTCCTCCTGCTTGTGATGCAGACCTATAGTGATACCAGTCCAGGGTCTGGATTAATGTTCAGAAATACCTTCTTTACTAAGAAGATACTGAGAACCTGTTTGGTCCAAATTAGTGAATATCTGAAAGATACCTGTTTTGGGAGCATCTTGTAGCAATGTGATATGGTTGGGGGAGCTGGAAGTCTGATGGGTACTGACATTCTCTGGGCAAGATCCTTCATGCGTGGAAGTCTTTCATATGAGTTTCTTACTTGATGACTTTTTATGTTGGTAGATCTGCAGAAAACAGAATAATGATGCATAAAGTCTACATATTTTTGATCTTCATGGTACTGATTCTGCCCTCCCTTGGCCTGACCAGGTAAAGAATCATAGTTCAGTGTAGTAATGTTTGAGTGTTTTTGTTACTTCTGTTTTCTAGTTGCTAGTTGAGGTATAGTTGATGTACCACCACTCCCTCCAGCGTGTATGGTTATATTGTCATTATACATTAGATTTTAACATTCACGTTTCATGTGAGGACCTCCTAGCCCTTATAGTTTACAAAGGTTGATTTTTCTTTTAACAGAGAAATTTAAGACCTTGTAATATCAGTAACTAATTGCAAGTTGCCCATACTCCCCATCATAGTGAGAACCCAGTTTCCTGACTATGTCTTATACTTCAGTTGTAGCTGTCCTTCTCTTTCTACCTTTATAGTATTTGACTGTTTCTTTGTCTGACGAGGTAACATGTATTTGATCTCTCTTATATAATAACTGCTAAAAATGAATCATTGAATCTTTAGTGTGAAGCAGACATTTGTTTGATTCTGTATCTTTCTTCCTATTTATGACAATTAGTTACTGTGATAAAGCTGAAGTAGTGTTCAAAGTATTTGATTAAATTCTCTATCCACTCTCCTGATCTGAAGTACTTAAAAAGAGAAGCAGTTTTACACAGTACTAAGCTGTTGGAGACTGAACTACATTAACCCTCTTTCTTGCAGCCTGGATTTCTTTTTCCGTTGGCTGTTTGACAGAGAATCATCTGATTCTGCAGTGAGACTGGAGTAAGTATTAGCAACTCTTTGCTAAAGGAGTACTTAGGACTCTTTTTTTTTTTTTTTTTTTTTTTTTTTTGCTGTTGGCTAACCTTGGATAGTGTTTATTAAAGTTTGCTTGGGGTTGGTGCCCTGTGGGGTGGTGTTGAGCTTCTGAATAAGGCAGGGAAGATACAAGTGGCTTTGCTTTGAAGAAATCCATATGTTTTTCCTGCTAGCTAATGTATGCAGTCATTCAATAAAGAGACCATTATTTTCCCAAAAACTCACAAATTTTGAAGAAGAAAGGACAGGATGATATGAGGTAGGTGAGAGGTGACCAGAAAATGTACTGAGATTGGTGTGTATCATGGACAAGGGGATCTTTCCCCAAGGATTACAGTGCTGCAGCAGTTCTCGTTCTGAAATCCGTAGACTCTTGTTCTTAAGTAACATGAACATTTTCACATCAGCCTTGCAAAGTTGCAGTTATTGGTTATTATAAGATTTTGTGACTATGGCTGGAGGGAAAGAATAAAAGAACAGAATGCAATTATGAGGACATAGGTTTCCAAATGCTGTTTCAAAATCAGTAACAAGAAGACAATTATGAGTTACTCAGCTAGGACACAATTATTCTATTGCAGTCTTATCTCATCTTGTCTCAGGTTGCAGACACCAAGTGATGCTCTTGTCTGCTATCAGGCCACCCATCAGACTGCTGCGTCTTTTCATAAACAGTTTATTCCTCATCCAAACTGCAGCTCAGCCAGGCTTGGACAGTGTGCTCCACTTACTGCATTCATAGCTATGTAGTACCCCTTTTCAACTAAATAATCAGAAGTCTTCTAGCTGCTTCTTATGATAATAGATTTCCAAAGGCAATAGAGCTCCATTGTATATATGCTGTATTTGCTTGTCTGCTTTCCAGTCAGTGTCTGTTGTCTTTCCTTGCAGATGTGTCTTCCTGCCTGACCAGGGAGCCTTCTTTGTGAACTATGTGATTGCCTCTGCTTTTGTTGGCAATGGGATGGAGCTGCTGCGCCTGCCTGGCCTCATCCTTTACACCATACGCATGATCATGGCCAAGTCCGCTGCAGAAAGGAAGAACATTAAACAGGTATTGGAGCACCTCCTTAGTAAGAGGCAATTAAATGACTGATCCTTCTCAGAAACAGTGGGAGCTCCCATCCTTCATACCATATGAACTATCATCTCCTGTCATTTTGGATAGGGTTTTTTTGGCCTCTGTTTCATTCATCCATGACGAGTTCATATTCCCTTCATTTGCAACACAGATAATGAGGAGGTATTTATTCAAGTCAGAGATGGTCAATAATCAAATCCCAAACTCTGAACTTCAGGTATTATTCTCTTCATAGCTCCAAGTCAGAGTTTTATGATTTGGATTTTATAGGCTAATTATGATTATTATCTTAGAGTCTAAACTTCAGGGGGTTTGAAACTCCAATCTGTCTGTAGTTAGTTCCTTCTGTCAGGCTGCAGTCATGTATAATTTGCATTAATCTGAACATATACCTAGCAAAATGCATACTTACTTTCTAGATCCCTTTTTAAGTGGTGGACTGTCACTTGCAGATGATGTGTTGTCTTGCAAATTGAAATTGGAGGTGTTACAATGGGAACTTAAGCCTCTATACAGCTTGCCCATGGTCTTTTTCTTCTTTTATGGGTGTGTGGGTTCCATTTTTAAAAGATTCTTTTAGATATTCACTTCTAATAAGTATTGCATATTACCCCTTGTTTTAAAAGATTCTTTTAGATATTCACTTCTACTAAGTGTTGCATATTATCCCTTACTCTGGTTGAAATTATTTATATTGATTTCCTCATTACAAGAGGGAAAAGTGGGAATACTGACCATATCAAAGCTTTGATACCTTGGGCTTCACTGGGAAAGCCAACACAAGGAACAGTACAGATTCAATAGCATCTGCTGCAAGATGAAGGTTCTGAGTTTGGCATTATTATTTTCTGTCTTGGGCTTTGAAGTAATTGCTTCTGGTAGATAAAATCGGATTCCCTGAGGAATTACTTTAAGGCTGTGAAAGAAGCAGCATATTTTTTGTAAGTACAGATGCTTAAAATGCAGAATACTTCATTGCTGTAACTACATCATTTATGCCTCTTGGGGAAATCACTGATCTCTCCTGGGGAGAGAATAAGAGAAGGTGAATTGTTGTGTTAGTGAATCTGTTCTGAACTCCTGATACATTGATAGATGACATGAGAGTTTTGAGTGTTTTGGTTTTGTTCCTAGCAACAAGCGTTTGAATATGAATTTGGAGCAATGTATGCCTGGATGTTGTGTGTGTTCACTGTCATCATGGCCTATAGCATTACGTGTCCCATCATTGTCCCGTTTGGTAAGTTTTCCAATGAGCTGTGGGCACTTTGTGAGCAAGATGGGAACAAGTGGGAGGTCTGGAAGGCCCAGTTCTGCATGCTTATTCAGGATAAAATGCTTATTATCTTAAGACTTGGATCCAAGTTTCCTTCCTTTCTTGTGCAAAAAAACAGGGCAGAAGATGGTGACTGACTTAGCTCTTGTAGTGCCTTTAGAAGTTTGAAAGTATATTTAAAGTCTACCAGATGCTTATTTTATTTCTCAGGTTTGAGTGTATATATCTCTGGTGCTGTTTTTTAATAGTTAAACCCAGGAATTTAGGTAGGTTTGGGGTTGAGGGGATTATCTTTATCTCTGGGTTCTTGAGGGCTGGGAGAAGCCAGCCGCAAGAGGATACCCAGCCTGGAAGTCCACCTTAAGCAGCCAAACTTGACTTGAGACATTCTGATCCCCAGATCCTTTAGGCACATTTGAAATGAGTTTTGTCCTAAAGTTGGGCTGATGTATGTAAAAGGAACCAGTTCACTAGGAGTTCAGGGCATGTGGATGGAATATAGCTGCCCTGTGGTGTAGATGGAGCTTGCCCTAAGGTCTCCAGATCTCTGAGTCACAGACCTCCTTTTTCTAGGATGCTTTCCTATTTCACTTGGCTTATCTCTGTCCCATGAACAAAACTTAACATTTCTGCCCTAAGTTGTCTATGCATCTGGCCTTGACTACTTTCTTCCTCCTGTACCATGCTGTATGGGTGTGCAAGAAACTTAGCAATCTGTCTAGAACTCGTGGGCAGTTGTCCATCTTTAGTGACGGTGACATGATCTACATCTTACTTTATTGCATCTTTCATTCACAGAGATTCTGGGCTGTCATAAGAATTATGTATAAAGAATCATTTCAGCAGCTACAGATATTTCCACTCTGGAAGCCTGTTTATCAGGCATAAGTAGTACTGAATCGTTCTATATAGTTGGTATTTTCCTTTTCTAATCCCAAAATGAGGTGATAAATATCTGAATGTGCTGCTGCACACCAGAGCTGTTGCAGTTCATAGCTGCCACAGCAGTAACTGGCTTTTTTTTGGGATAAGAAATAGCTGACTTGAAATCCAGTTATGAATCTGTTGAAAGCTAAGGGGAGATGTGAAGCCACTGTTAGACCTTTCTTGCTTACCAGTGCAATGGTGGAAGAGTTACCAAGTCTCCCCTACTGGCTTGGCCTCATGTACCAGGATTAAGAAGCAGCTCTGGGTTCTTTCTGAGAGCACAAGTAGAGCCACAGAGAAGTATGTGGAGAGGAGGAGGGATGGGGAGACCCCAGAGGTCTTGGGCTGGGGATGCAACAACCTCAGGAGCAGGCTGCTGTCATGCAGCTGTACCCCACGTGGCTGTATCCACCATTGGTATCTAGATTTCAGTCACTTGGTTAGTGAAGATCTCCTCACAGAATCGCTGCTTTTTATCAAGTCTTCTTTAACAGCTTCTCCTTGGCCCTTCCTTTTTTCCTTCCAGGTTTAATATACATACTCCTGAAGCACATGGTGGACCGTTACAACCTTTACTATGCATATCTCCCTGCCAAGCTGGAGAAGAAGATGCACTTTGCAGCAGTGAATCAGGCCCTTGCTGCTCCAATTCTCTGCCTTTTCTGGCTCTATTTTTTCTCCTTTTTGCGCCTAGGTAAGTATTTCTTGTTTCTGTCCAAAAGCTGGTCCCAGCTTTCTTGCCAACTTACCCAAAATTCTCTGCCTTTTCTGGCTCTATTTTTTCTCGTTTTTGCGCCTAGGTAAGTATTTCCTGTTTCTGTCCAAAAGCTGCTCCCAGCTTTCTTGCCAACTTACCCAAGTTATGTGTGAAGTTTCAGAGGCTTTGTGGGCTTCTTGTTTCCATAAGTGGGAGGTCATAGTGGTTACCTGGGGCACAGAATTTTACAACACTTGCATGTTACACAAGTCTGATGGAGACAGCTGATTATGTTCACATCAAACTGTTAGCATGGAGCTTCACATTTCTTCCTTCTACCAGAGATCATGTGTTCCCTAAGTCTCTTGAGTCTGATTTTGTCCAGTTGGGCTGTGAAGTGACAGACAGTAAAAAAAACCCACCCAAAATCAATTCAGAATTAGCTGTGTTTGTGGTAAGATGGTCTCTGTTTTTACTACCTGCATTGGTGTAGTCTGTGCATAAGTTTAGTCTGCCTGGGTGAATGAGCTACTGCCCCTGTGGTACAGCTGGCATTGAGAAAAAGCCTTCAAATGTTAAAATGTCATGTAATGCGTGTAAGAGCTGTGTCCTACATCAGCCATCAACTTTCCCATGCCAGGCTGCAGTGAGATGGTGACTCTCCTCCTCATATTGTAACTTAGAAACTATATTTTGTGTGTAATTTATGGTAAAAATAGGGACGTCCTGTATTTTGCACATACTTGGCATTGATAATATTGGCTGTGGTGCACAAACAGCTTTGACAGCAGAAAAGGTAGGTGATAGCTTATGGCTTTTTATCCGTGAAACAGGAGGAAGCATTTAGCATGGGACAGGGATGCTGGAAGGAGTTGAGCTTCCCTTCTTGAGAAGAAGGCCCTTGCTGTCTAGCTGGATTTTCCTCTTTGCTTTCTCAGCAGTGATGACAAATAGTCAACCATGCATTGTGTTTTGCTGGCATACCAGTAGTAAAACAGATAATGTTGGCAGACCCTTGTCTAACTTTAGATATAGCTCCCTGTGGAGGTAAGAGGCACTCAGAACTCTTGCTTCAGGCTGTCCTTGGGTTTGAGCAGATGTCCCTGCATTACTTGTATGTTTGAGAGCTTGTTTTTCCCTTGAGAGCTGTCTTTGTAACCAGGAAGACCAACAAATCTATGTCCTTTAAAATAACAGCAAAAATTACTAGAGCATGCTTTAGAAAAATCAGCTCAAACACACAGCACTTGATGTGCCTCTTTAATTGTTATGAAGGAAATCCTGATACAGGAAAAAGTAAATCTTTATTATACTGGGCTTTTTTATTCTGCATCTGTGGTAAAACCATCATCTGCGATGGACCTTAGTAATGGAAAATACAGGCTGGATTACCAGCCTGGTCAGTGTAGAGGATCCTGTTTTCAGGATTTTGCTCAATGATATGTCAGTGCCCAGGGCAGTCCAGCCAAGTGCTATGAGTGTAAGAGGTAGGAACCTGAGATTTTGATTTCATAGCCATTGATTTCATTGCTGCTGCTTGTGCCAAAGAGAAGGAAGGAAGGGGAAGAGTGCTCTGCTTCCTAATCTGCAAAATAAACCAGTTCTGGTGTGTAAAGCTTGATTGCTTAGTCATTGATTTGTATGGTTAGCCTGGTATGGACATTTCAGTCTGGTTGCAGAGCACAGTGATAGTACTCTGTTTTTCATTCATTAATGTTTTATCCACCACACACACACACAATCCCACCTGCCCCCCAGAGAAAAACTTAGCCTTCAGCTTAGTTCGTATTTACTCAGTTTCTTCTCTCGTCCCTTTTCCTTGGATTCTTCCCAATACATCCCTATTTTATCGTGCTGTCCTACACAGACAAGGCTGCTCAAGTTGAAGGCTTAGTAGCACTATGTTATTTTGTATAGGTACTAAAGACTTGTTTCCTCCCCTTTCCCCTCATTTTCTGCCCGTATTTTATGATAGCATCACACTATTGACTGCTTTACAGCTTGTAATCACCACCTGTATTCTGCAGTTCTACGGGCTGGTTATCCCTCACGTCTGCATCTCGTATTTCATTCCTAATTGTAGTGATTTCATAAAATCACAGAACGGTTTGGGTTGGAAGGGACCTTAAAGCTCATCGAGTTCCAACCCCCTGCCACAGGCAGGGACACCTTCCACTAGAGCAGGTTGCTCCAAGCCCCTGTGTCCAACCTGGCCTTGAGCACTGCCAGGGATGGGGCAGCCACAGCTTCTCCGGGCACCCTGTGCCAGTGCCTCAGCACCCTCACAGGGAAGAATTCCTTCCCAATATCTAATCTGAATCTCCCCTTAATTACATTTTCTAAACACAATTTCATCTTACTTCTCCCCCCTCCCACCCTTGAGAGATGAGGGGGTCATCTGTCAGGGTAAATATTTTCTATCCTTTGGGTTGTTTGCAAGCCATCCAGTTTCGTGCCATCATAGTAATTAATAAGTGGGCTCTATGTATGACATTTCATGGATCAATAGACTGAGGGAGGAGAAGAACTGCTGAGTCTTGTTTATCATTCAAGTACTGCAGCCACCTGTCTTGGCCTCTGAAAATGGGGAGGCTGAAGTTTTGTTCATTGGGTTTGGTTTGGGTTGTTTTTTCTGTTTATTTTTATATTGTATTCTCTTTGTAGGCTTTAAAGCACCTACAACCATGTTTACCTTCCTAGTTGTCAACATCACAATTGTTATTTGCTTGGCTTATACTTGTTTTGGCTGTTTCAAGTACCTGAGCCCACTGAATTACAAGGTAAGTGATGGATACCTAACAACTCTCAACACCTACCTATGTGCTTGATGTAGCATGTGGTTCGTGCCTTCCCACTAGCAATGTCTTCACAAAGGTTCATTCCAGTAAGATGGCTAAAGAGGGCTGCTTGGCACAGTGTTAGCAGGAACCGAATTTGGGAGGAAAGAGCAGTATGGAAGAAGTATACGAGAGGGTTGGAAGAGAGATCTGTCTGTGCAGGTTCTGAGGCTCTTACCATCTCTGTATATTGCTTTGATTTACTGATTTGATGTTGTCTCTCTTTCTTTCCCCACCTCTTACTGGTTACAGGTAGAAGATACGCAAAGTGAAAGAGGAAACGACACAGATGTACCAACCATCACCACATCTTCTGTAAGAAGTTAAGAGTTACTAATACTCTCTTCTGCTTCCTAGAAAAACTTTATTTCTCACCCTGCTAACCAGAGAGCTTGTGTAGGATGTATTGATCTGAATGGACTGTGGGACTTTCCTTGTGGGACCAGAGAGTTCTAGAGCTGTGCTCCTTGGCTGTTCCCAGGTGGTATTCCAGAAGTACCCTCAGATGATGTTTTAGGAATAGCTCAGGAATGCTGCTTTCAGCAGATCTGTATGCAGATGCAGTGTTCTGGGCCTTACACCAAACATCCTCATATCTGCCAAAAGCAGTCAGTTTCCACAGCTTTGTGACTTTGGAAGTTGTCATGTGTAGCGTGTCTTAACTGGCAAGTCACTGAAAAAGATGTAAGACTCGGGTGGAAATAGAGGCCTTTGTGCCACAGTCTACAAGTACAGGTGAGAGTTGCACCAGGAAGCCTCTGTTAGGGTGCAAAAGGCCTTGGGTGTTAAGGGAAAGAATGAGAAATGGATGAAAAGAAGAGTTGCAAGGGGAAAAATTATCCTGGGTGAATTATCCCACCATTACTCTTTGAGAGACTAGTAAATTCCTTAACACTTGTGATTTCAGATGTACGTGCCCCAAGTCTTGCATCCTACAGAAAGGACGATGCTCGCCCATAAGGAGCAGCAGTCGTATGGCACCATGGACCACATTTCTTCACAGGCAGAAGGAATCATAAGCTATTCTGCTGGACCTGCAGTTACTGAGCAGGCATCGAGAAGCTCGGTTTGAATGCCAAGGACTAACACAAGGTGGAGCACTTTGTCCAGGTTTAGGAGAACTAATTCCTCACCATCCTCTACTAAGTGTTTTGCTTTACTTGCATCCTCCTGCCTACTGAAGAGGTACAGAAATAATTCCTTGTGCGGTCTGCAGCTGTGCTTGGAGATTAAAAAGCAGATGCCTTGGGACTGATTGTTTTCCAGGCTGTCTGCACACATTGGGAAGCAAGCCTGTTGAACACAGGGATGCTGATCCTCAGGGACTTCACTTATGCTATCTCATCACTTGCCTTATGGAGATAATTTATGCTGCATATAGATAATTGGTCACCAAAGCAAATGCAGCTGTAATTTATTTATTCAAAATAATTACTGCTTTAAAAGAAAAAAGTATTTATAAACCTCTTGGGATGCATGAAATCCTCAGGCAATGTCACTGTTGATGAAAATGCTGTTAGCATGGGTGAGGATGGTGTGTGGGAGTCTCTCATCACCCCAAGTAGTCAGTGTAGACTTGAACATGTTACTTCTTTTCCTTAAAAGAGATGAGGGAGTTACTCAGTGTGCACTGAGCAGGTTACTGTGCACTCGGGTACTAAAAGTACCAAAGCAAAAAAGCTGGTGTGGAGATGGGAGTGATTTATCTGATACTGGTTTTATACATTTTTGGAGGGTCTTTAGGTTGTTTGTTTCTCTTCACTATTTTTAAGGGCCTTTCACAAGGAAAGTTCACCTGCCAACGATAAAGGATGTAGTAATTTTATCTTTCTTTTAATCTTGGGTCAAAATGACAGATCTCTGGGATTTCTCTATAGTGCCAACTCTATGAGCTGTAAGATACTAAGGTTTTAAATTATGTAGTAGGTGCTGATTTATTCCAAAGTACATTGTGTCAAAGTGCAACTAATAATCATGAAGCAATAAAACACTTCAGAGGAATTTCAGGCTATCTTATGTTTTCTTTGTGCACTGAAACAGTTCTTTTGCTACCTGCCTCACAGCATGCTGTGTCATGAACTGTTCGTAAGGGCACTGTTGTGAGGCTCAGAATGACAGTACACCCCATGAGAGATTTGAATCCTCTTAAATTTCTCTTGGGGATGAATCGGGGTGACCTTTGGGTAGGAGAAGGTTTTGGCCCCCCCAAGCCCTCTGTTTGCCTGCTCATGGTTGAATTCTTAGTTCCTGAACATGACCTTTTCTAGCAGATCTGCAAAGCAGCAACATCTTGAGGTGGGAGTAGAACCTGTGCCATAAATAAGTGTGTGCAGATGTTCAGTGTCTTGCAGGACTGTCTCCAGCTTCCCGAGACCAGCACCCTGGATGAATGCTGAGCAGGAGATCTGCCCTACTGCAAGAAGGGCATTGCAGAGCTTTGATAACCCTGATGACAAGCCCATCCTGTTAGTGGAAGGTACACATACCTCCTGCTGTTTGTCTAACTGGGGGGCCATGGATTTGTGTCAACTTCTTTATGCTATCTCTTCAGTGTGGCAGTTTAGTCAGGGGATTGCATGTGCATGGGGGGAGTGTTTTGATTTCAGCAATTGTGGTGTCATTAGAGGTGGTTTGTACACTGAATACTGGGGGTGTTTATTGATCATGGTATGACTAGAGGTGGTGTGGACCCTGGGTACAAACTGACACTTAAGATTGGTTCTCAAACCAAGAAAAAAGAAAACCAACTGACTCCACATTTTTCACTTGTCTCTGGGTCTCTCATACAGATGTGAGGACAGAAGAAGGAGACAGAGCCTGTTGTATTGATTAGATCAGAAGCCTGTGACTGTTCTAACATGTTTCTAGCTCAATACCCATCTCACACAGGTGTCTGCAGAAGTAGTGGATGTTACGTGTGTACTAATTGAGGAATCAAATGATCCAGCTCCCTGTAAACTCAACCTCTTCACAGCGCTGGCTCTGCAGGGTTTTTATGTTCTGTGGTATAACTCACTGCTGTGAACAAGTGACTTTTGATATTCACTGTGAGGTTCTATCTGCCATATCAAGGACAAAAACTCTTTTGGTCTCTGGGTTTCCTTTTTTGTGCTTGGAAGGCTGCTGAACTGTAATGAAGCTCCTTGTGGCCAGCACAGGTTTAGTACAGACAGGGCCAGCTCTCCTGTCAACTTGAATAAAGCCACCTCCAGTCATGCTAATGTGCTTCAGGTACAGAGTATGGAAAGCTGCATCTTGCTAAATAGTCACTGCTGGTATTTGAGGAACCAGTTCATGTGTCTGATGGAGAAACTACCTGTATATTTCACTTGTCATGTAGCAGCCATTCTTGTTTGCCACTGGTTTTTGTTGCAGTTAAAATGTCTATGAAAATAGACATTTTAGAATAGAATGTCTAGATACAAATAGAAATGCCTGTGATACCGGGACACACACTAGTCTGAGTAAAGGCTGGTATCACCTATTAGTAAATTATCACCAGACCTCTCTGTATAGCAGCACACCCGTTAGAGGCTGGTTTATCAGCTTTGCTATGTTGTACTTGCTGCCCTACTATCTTTTGTGTCTCTCTGAGACATGGAAGTAATTAGGAACTGCACTGGCTCTAGTTCATTCCTTCGTGCTGGTGGATGTCTCCGAGAGGATAAAATTAGATCAGCAGGAGAAACTCCTTGCATTCCTTGCTGAGCCTTAGAGAAAAGCTGAGGGATGGAAGCCTTAACAAATGTGGATATTGGCTGTGCTGTATTTGAAATTCATATTTAAAGCTATTGCACATTCTTTACTGTTCTTTTTATAAATCTTCTGGCAGGGAGCCTGAGCAAATGGCCCAGCTGGAGTTACTGATTGTAGCTCCCAGAAGCCATATTTGTTGAGATCCAGTGCCTGCTGCTTGCCTTGCATTGCTCAGTTGGAACAACTCTCCCCCCGTCTCACTCCTTGCTCAGTCCTTACTTGCGTTCTAACAGCCTCCACCACCAGTGCTCCTGTGGAATGGGAATCTGGACAAGGCAGACAGGCACGAGTAAGCCCTACTCTGTGGTCTGGGATGGGGGTTCTCTGTGACACAGCTGAGGGGACAGCCTCTGGAAAGCTGAAGAACAGAGCTCACTTGATACTGTACCATTTGGTATACTCTGCAAAGACTTCACTCTAGCTGATTTTCTTCTGTAGTGAAGAAAGTGCTATATTGTATGCTGAGACCCAAAATAACCCTTGGCTTGTTTGGATACACCCAGTTCTGTGCCAGTTAGAGCTTATTCTATATGCACGCCCAGTCTGGTTCACCTCCAGCCCTATTACATCCACAGCACCCAAATGATTGCAGTTCCTTGTTCGCATTAGGTGCACACGTTCATGCTTTGTTTTCCTTTGGGCTTTTCCCATGTCCTGAGCCAAAAGCAGATCTCTTTGCTGGCTAAGGTTTTAAATGCTTCAGCACAGCATTTGACCACATTCTTTCTGTCTCTTTACAGAAATATAATTCCCAGCTCTGCTTAGCAGCACAACTAGAAGCTTCCTCAGGTATGATCTACATAGAGTCCATTTATTAGCATTCGGAAGCCTTTTGTGCTTTTCAAGATGGGCTCATGCTAGAAGCAGCAGACCATAGAGTTGTTCTCCTGGCTCTTAGCAAAAGTGAGGTGAGAGGCACAGGAAGATTTGGGGAGGAGGAGTCTTTTTCTGTCACCAACACAAACCCAGGTCCATAGAGAACAAAGACAAGACACACTTTATTGCTCTGAACTGCAAAAATACAAGGAAATACACACTTTTAATTCAAAATGATGGCCAAGGTCATAACTTCCAAAGAGGATGTGTCTTAACTTCTTGAAATGGTCCTGCAAATTCCTTCTCTGTCTAATCTAGAGAAGGCATCTCAAATGATTCTGCATGTCACCTGTCTGTAACAGCTGTGAGCGCCTGTTTCAGATGGTTCAGAGGTACAGAAGTTGCTCGCTCTTTCTGAGGACAGCTGTCTGATAGATCAAAACAAAGGAAATCACAAAAGTGGAGAGACGGGAGACTGGATCATTAGAACAGAACATTCTTCCCTTGAATTTTTTGGTTCTTGGGTTAAACTCCTGGCTTTTGCTTTGGATCTGTTCTACTGGTTAGGCCTTAGCATCTCGGCTGCAGCAAGTGCAGCTTCCCAACTGTTTTGTGGTCAGACACAGAGCTCCTGGGTTATCTTTGCTTGTTCTTTGTCAGCAGTCTGTAAGCATTTGTTGCTTGGAGAGAATGCGTATCCAGATCAGCTGTCTTTGTTGCATGTGCCATGATTAGCTTTCAGTTCCTTTGATGAAACGACAAATGTAGTCCCACGAATTGACTGGAGTAGCATACAAAGCTGCTTCTCCCTACTCTCTGTGCCTCCATGTCTGATCTCTTCCAACCAGGGAGCCCGCAGTCCCTGTTACTCGGGGACTCTGGGCTCTTGGTTGAAAGTAAATGTTGTTGCTTTCCTGGAGGAGGATTTGTTCCCTGCTGAAGCAGCTTGTTTCCTGCCTTCCTAGGTGGGTTTCAGTGTAACATGCATCTGATCTTCTCACTTTTGAATGGATTGAAAGTCCCATCTCACGACCAATGTTTATGGATAGTGGAAAGTACTATTCTGTGTGTTAAGTAAGAATTTCACTAACTTCATGAGCTAAATAAATCTCCAGCTTCAATTCTGGATGGAGTTCCCTTCCCACTAAAGTTCTAGTTTGGAAATGTCTACTGACACAAAGTTTGTGGTCTCCGGCTAGTCCAGAGCTTCATCCCATTTTATCATTCCCTTGAGATGTGAGACATATGTGGTACATGTGGTATGATACAAATATGATAGTGTCATTTTAGGGCTTTCAAACACTTCCAGAGTGTTAGTGTTCCTAGACACAGTGGTTAGTTAAGTGCTGGTTAATGGTTCATGAAGACACTTATCAAAAGTGATGTTTGAAATGGAGTTCTAGAACTCTAATGTGTGATATATCGTAAGGTACTCCTAAATAAAGCAGGAGCCAGAATTTGTTGCTGTCTCTTACTATTACTACTGTGTGGTTGTGGACC